CAGCTGGCTGCCTGCTGTGTTAGGGATGGATCTCTTGCAGTATATTCCCCTCAGTGACTTTCTGTGTTTGAGGCACTCAGGTTTGCCAGTGAACCAGAGGTCACTTTTCTGAAGCTGTTACAAGGGCCATATTGACATAAATAGGCACGCACTCTATCGTCTGAGAACAAACCTAATTCTGGTTGTGGTTTTTTTTTGTTTGTTTTTTTTTTTTTTTTAATAACACTGCTTTAAACTACAGTTCACTGTAATGATATAGATCTCAGTCTGCTTTTGCCTTTTTTCTTCATTTTTGCAAGAATACAATAAATGAATCAAAAAAAAAAAAAGGTAGAAATGTTACTGGTTTGCATAGGTCAATTTGTTTTACAATATTTTAATAAGAGTTACATTAGTATAAGGTGTGTTACCTCACCTAAGGTGAAAGAGATGTGGAATTGGGATTTTTAAATTGATTTTAATATAGCCATTGCTGGCATGCTGCCATTAATGCTTGCATAGTTCAGTGAGGAGACTACAGCGTGTCTCATAATTGGAGGTCAGACTACACTGAAGTTGGCCTCCCTTGGTCAGTGTAATTAACTGAGCAGGAAGGTTTTCTATAGGGTCCCTGAAGTTATATTTTTCTCATTGCCATTCACATTACCAACTCAGAAGGAGAATCGATAAGAGCCACAATGTACTGATGAGTAGATAGTGTAAAAGAGAGAAAGTTCATATTCCTTGGCATTGCAGCAGGTCTAGGAGGGCTGAAAATGTGACTTCAGAAGTTCTGTTTAAGCAGGAAGATAGTTCTTTCTCACCATCCAAGCACATGGGTAGCACATGCAGGGTGGTGCAGAATCAGCTTAGATTAATGCATGTTCCATTCCTGTTCAGTGCTGCTTTTTCCTGTGGATTCTTTCTTCAAGTCACTTTCTCCTCTGTGACTCATCATTTTGTCTTTAGATTTTGTACTGGAGCCAGATCGTAAGTATTTCAGAATTTTGAGCTGTGCCCAACCATTCGTGTAGTTCCAGGGATTTGCTATTGCTTTAAAAAATTATGTAAGTGTATCAAAGTCTGGCTTTTGCTGTTAGTTATTTTCCTACTGTGGCTGTGTTCTTCCTACTCAGGAGCATCCTTTGTTTCCTCTGTTGTTTTTTGTCTAGATCTGGTAGATGCTTATGCCTTTTCCTGATAATTAATTTCTCCACAGCTTTGATTTACCTTTCACTTTACTGTTCAGTTCCATCTCGTCCCATCCTCCCTACACTTCTAAAAAGATCCCAGATGTGGATTAAATCTGAAGGCATTTCTCATTCACTTCAGTTTTGAACCACTGACATAAACTCATAATTTGCCATTATCTATAAATCCAGAATCACCTTTATTTCTCTGGGTCTGTACATATTCCTTCTTTTGTTACTACTTTTGACATGAACCCAAATTAGTAATAATGACTTTCTAAATCAGCGGTCAGCTAGCTATCTCCTAGAAGAAGCAAAAATCATCAAATAATACATAAGAAACCTAAGGTGTGGTCTGCATACCATATTAATTTAATTTCTACTTCTTTGACAGACTTTTAAATAAAACCACTTTTTATCATTGGCATTTAGGCTGTAACTGTTCACTTGAGTTCAGTGAAACATTTACTTATCAGAGAACTGAGCAGGTTAAGCCAGCAGGAATATTTCCCAAATAAGGAATTCATGTATCCACCCTAAGCTGGGAAGGCAAAAGTCTCTTGAGACTTTGTTTTCTCACCTCCTGTCCATTTAATTTATTATTCCCATGCTTTCACATATTTGATGGCTGCTTGACAATTTTATTGTATGTTGTACTGTCCCTCTGTGATCACACCTCCCTCTCTCTCATTTTCTATCCGTGGTAACACAGCTCACATCTGATACTCATCTCCACCACGAAGGGTTCTATTGTCCCCCTGATATGTATGTGTAACTCCCACTGCTGTCAACAGGAATTACATGTGTGCATCAAGGAGAGAAAAATCCCTTGTGTACTCTACGCTCCTCATTATCTTGGCACAGTCAGTTCTGTAGATGTCTCATCTATGAGCCTTTTATTCTCTCGAGTGTTGTGCAGTATAGCAAGTTGGCTCTTAGGATCAGCAGTTTTGCTCTTGAGGTGTTTAGCAAGTTGATTTACTGTGCATGTGTACGCTCTTAAATGTCTTCATCCAGCCAAATCCACATCTTGTAGTGTTCATACGTTAGACAGTAGAGCTTCCAATTTCCTTTTTATGCAAGAATACCAATTCATAACCAGTCTCCCAGCAGACTCAAAGCGAAGTGAGAGTCTGAAGCTAACTCTCCCAAATAACATATGTTCAGGCCCAGCTCAGTCCTGTATGCTTAAATGCAATAGTTTGTGAAAAATTTGATAGGTACAAAAACGTAAATGGAATATTTTAATTTTCCTTAAGGAGATGAAGGAAGATATTTTATAAGTCCCTCATGTTAAGTACTTCTAAACAAGGAGGTAGTTGAAATCAGTTAGCAAAACTTTAATTCCTTCCAAAATTAATTAGATTGTCAAGAGTCGAAGGAAAATGGTAGAGTGAAAATAACTACACATGTAAACCCGTGATTTCCATTGTCTGAACACTGGATTTGTACTCTCCTCTGATCCTTCTGGAATCACCCTGTTTGGGATGGTACCCAGTGTCTCACACAGGCCAGTGTTATACAAACATAACAGGAAAGCATACACACTCCATTTGCAGACTTGTTCCCTAAGTACAGTCAGTTACCACAGCTTAGAAAAGAGGCATGGCAAACTAGTTTGGGAAAAAAATCAATTTGCCATCAGATTAGAAATCAACTGTAAACATGTTGAAGAATTCTATTTTTTTTTTCACTACTGCTCTGCCTTTTCTTCACAATCTGTTGTGGTGTCAGACTTATTTTGACAATACTTGTAGAACTTGTCATATTAACAAAGTTATCAAACAGAGCGAGCACATGCATAGCAACAGCTGTAGTCCAGCAAGAGTCAAAATAACTGGCCATAGGTATTCACAAGGAAATATCCACACTGTAGTTGCACAGATCAAAAATATCCCCAGAAATCTCCAGAGTACTTGTAGTTTTATTTAAATAGCAACAACCATAGCTGACCTTCAACTTGAAACAATGTACTCCAATCTTTGAAATTTAGGATAACAATGAAAGGAATTAATTTAGATTTTATATCTACATATAAGGATTTATTTTTTTCTATGTTAGTGTCACTTGATAATTTCTGCCTTTGTGAAAGTGTTTCATAAAAAATGGTATGCACTAAATTCAATACAATGATGGGATTTATTTGATGTTATACAACAAACTTAAAAATACTTGTTTAAAAACAAAATAAACCCCATAATCCACTAAGACTGTAAATTGGTGGGGTAGGAACAATCTTTTCATTATTCGTGTCTACAGAGCTTAATACAATGAAGTCTCAGTTCTTCGCTAACATCTCTAGGTGTTAACACAATACCATTAAATCTACTCAATAGCAAAACATGCAGACAGTGGATTTATGTGTCGCATTCCTTTGGAAACGTGTGAATCTAACGGAATAGTTTAATGGCCAGATTTTTCAGCTGCAATGTCTGATTTTGCACGTACATCAGATAGTATGCATCTATTTATGCAAATTGTTGTTGGATTTATATATACGAAATATACATGCCTGAGAAATCTTGTCTGTGGCGTTGAGCTGCATTCAGAAAGGAAAAAGATCGTATTTGGATGCCAGGGTCATGCTGTAGGAAAATAGCAGGAGCCATACTTAGCACTCGAAACTGCTGCTTTCCATTTTCAGTTTTCTGTGAAAACTAAACCGACTTGAGTTTTGGTTTCTGGCCCTGTTCTGATCTGCCTTTATTTTTATGCCAGAAACCCTCTAGTTTAGTGGAGTGAGCTTTATCTGCTACTGAGGTGAGGGTGGACTAGGCCTGACACAACTAGAAGGGCCGGGCTCACACTGGCTCACATTCACAGCTGAGGAGCTGATTCAGGCACTACCCATTTTTCCACCCGATCCCAAAACTGCCGTTCACCCAAATTATTCTCTTCTCAGGCAGGCACCTGCCGCACCCTCCCCTCTTCCCGCCCAAGGTTTAAGGTGAGTGCCAAGCCTGAACCGGGGTGCTCCCTGACCCGCACCCCTGTCCCCTGCCTGCCCAAAGCCCACCCAGACTACAACCCCACGCCCCTGCAGCCCCCCTGCTCCCGGCACCGCGGCCTTTCCCCCTCAAACAAGGCCATACTCAGCAAAGGCCTTTGCCGGCGAAGGAGCGGGTCCCTGTCACGACGGGGCTGTGATTTCCACTGGTGTAGTTTTTCTCTCTCTCCAGCTATGCTAGTTTTTCTTCTCTGGATATATTGGGGTTTTCCACCCTGATACGTTAATCCTTCCTGTAGATATGCTAGTCCCCGTTTTCTCACAGCCTGGGCTATGCCTTCCTCCCTGGATATGCTCATCATCCACCAGGTATGTGTCTTTCCCGTGGACACGTTTGTTTTTCCTCACTGGATATGCTTGTTTTTCACCTGGACGTGTTAGTTTTTTCCCCACTGCATGCATCTTTCCGCTGGATATATTAGTTTCCCCCTGAATATGCTACTTTTACCTCAGCAGATACATCTCTACCCTGGATATGCTGGTTTTTTTTTGTTTTGTTTTGTTTTGTTTTGTTTTTCTGGAGTATGTTAGTTTTTATTTCTCTTTGGACATTAAGTTTGTTCTCTGGACAGGCAACCTCCGGCTCTCGCGGTTCTCCTCCGCAGTCTACCGCGGGTGGCGGCGAAACCACGAAACTTCGCGCCCCCCTTTCCCCGTGCCCCCCTCCGCGGCGGCAGCGGGGCGGTGCCTGTCGCTTTAAGGCGGCGCGTGCCCGCGCGCCGCGGGGCCGGGTGGGCGGGGCTTGGCGGCGGCGCGCGGGCGGGCGCTTCACCTGCAGCCCAGAGCGGCGGCGGCGGGAGCGGGAGCGGCGGTAGCGACCCCCCGGCCCCCCCCCCCCCCCCCCCCCGGTCCCCCCGGCCCGGCACGGCCAGCCGCTCCGCCACCCCCGCAGCCCGGTGGGTGGCTGGGCGGGAGCCGCCGGGGCGATGAGGACCGGTTCGCGGGTGCTGCTGGTGCTGCTCCTTCCCGTCTGGGGCTCGGCGGTAAGTGGGGCGTCCCCCGGGGCTGGGGGGGCGGGCAGCACCCGCGGGCTCCGCGCCCCGCGGAGGTGCCGCCGCCGCTCCGCGCCCGGCGGGCACGGCAGCCGCGGCAACTTCGGGGCCGGGGCGCGGAGCTGGGGGTCGGTCAGTGCGCGGGAGCGGCTCTTCCGCAGCTCCCTCCCGCTTTCACCGTTTCTCCTTTTTTTTTTTTTTTTTTTTTTTTTTTTTCTCCTGTGTGTGTTTTTAAAATCACTATCGCAGTTTTTAATTGCTATTTTTTTTTTTTTTTTCCGCGAGATCATTCTCTTTGAGCGTAGTGCTTCAGCGATGCCGGCAAAACTTGCCCTCCGTGGTGCGCGTCGCCAGATAAACTTCGGGGATAGCGGCGCGTCCCGGCGGCGGTGCCGCTCCGTCCGCGGAGCCTCCGCGCCCAAGCGCGGTCTCGCAGCGCTACCCGCTCCGTGCGAGCCGTCCCTCCTTCACCCGTGCCGCGGCGGTGCCTTTTAACTTTTATTTTTACAAGCCAGTAAACGCAGCGAGTGAGCTTGAACCGTGTTGGGGTGTAAAGAGCTGAAAAGTTTGGGGTTTTTAGGGTTCCCCCCACCCCAAAAAAATTAAGGGATGTCTGCAGAACCTCAACAACCGCCTGAACGCGTGGCTGCAGTGTTACTGTGCGAGCGGGGCGGCTGCTGTATTTTGTGTTGGACTGGCTGCAGAAACAAGAGCTGCTGATTTTTCTGCCTGAATCCCCCTGTGCCAAGTTGAATCTGTGGAGATGTCCCGAGTCCGAGCCCTCGGGATGCTGGTGGATGTGCAGAAGTAGCCCCAGTGTGCCCTCCTCTAGTAAGCGCAGTTATAATAATTGGGTGATTTCAGATTCAAAGCCTATTATCTTCAGTCAGTCCCTTTGAAATGTTTCCTAATGGCAACATCTTGCCAGCGACAGTCAGAGTCCACAGAACCGCTGCTTCCTTGCGCTTTCCATGCAGTAGCTGGCATCCATCTCCCGACTGTGATTTTTAGCAGAGTATGTTGGCTTGCTTTCTGCTTACTAAGCTCATCCGAAAGAACCCTTCGTTCCTCTTCCCTTCTCTCCCTCACTGTAACGCAGTGTCGTCCCTGTCAGGAGCATTTTGGGGAGCCTGGGGGAGCTGTGCTCATCTCCCCAGGGAGGCGGGTGCATGCCTGGAGTTGCACTTTCCTGGGAAGTGACTTCTGGTCCCCTGGCTTCAGCCTGCGCTGCTGGGACTGGAGGCATCCGAGGTGCAGCCTGCATTGCTAAGCGATGCTGTGGCTAGCCCTGCCGACAGTCCGGGAGCGTTAGAAATCCCTTGCCACCAGCACTTTGTGCATAAATCACTTGGCACTTGTTAGACATAAATCACTGGCTTATGTGCTTTAAGTGAGTTAGTTGGAGTTGGGGTTCTAGGACCTTGCTTGCAGGGCAATGTGTACCCCATCCCGAGGAGCCTGGGCTACCGCGACGGGACTAACCCGTCCCTGTGGCAGGGGCTGGTTCCCCACTGCGCGGTTCAAAGTTGCAGCGGAGCGGCTCAGTGTTTAGCCGGACGCTTCCTCCTGGATCCTGGCAGGTTGCGCGTGGGGCTGTGCTATTCAGTGGTAGCGTTACAGTTTGGATTGGGCATCCCCTCCAACCTCCCCACTGCCGGGGCAAGTGCAGAGCCTGGAGGGTCACCCGGGCAGCAGCAGGCAGAGCCTTGGAGGCTGCTGCAGGGCGAATGGGAAGGAAAGGAACTTTAGCTGGTCATGAGCTCCTGAGGCTGCTGAGAGCTGGAGTGTTTCTTCCCCCTTCAGTCTTGGGGCTTGCCCAGTTTCGCAACAGTAAAACTCAGTGATTTGGATGTTGCAGCATCAGGCCTTTGCGTGGCTCCAGTGCGAGCGCAGCTCGCCTTGATGAATTGCTGCTCTTTGTTTCCTCCCCTCTTCTGACAGTGCCCAATCTCCCAGCCTTCCTCAAACAATGCTCTCTATTGTAGGCAGGCAACTATTTTTCTGGCCCTTTTTATTTCTTCAGATACAGTATGGATCCACTCCAACAGATAGGCACTTCAGCGCAAGCGGTTTCTACTTGCACACTGCTTTACTGTTCAGGTTTGCCTGTGCCTAAGCATCTAGCCATTGGGTGCAGAACATTTTCCCAAATGACAAAAGTCATGGTGTGCGTTTCCTTGTTTTGTTTTTGCAGGCACACAATGGGGATCTTACAGTTAGACCCACATGCAAGCCTGGCTTTTCAGAAGAAGACTACACAGCATTCGTCTCCCAAAACATCATGGAAGGGCAGAAGTTACTCAAAGGTAAGTGGAATAAAGAGCTTAACAGGTTCTGCAATAACTGTATTTTCAGGAGGTGAAAGGCGGCTTAAAGACGCTGGTTTTGATGATGAAATTGTCTGCAGAATTATGTTTGTAGGAGGATGAAACACTAAGTGGTTTACCTGAGCACAGTTTTGAATACAGATGAATCATTCAAAGTCCGTGTGCTGTCTGCTTCAGGTGGATTGTTTACCTATAGTATGCGAGGTCAACACTTCACTTCTAAGTCTCCCACTCCCACCCCGTCTGAAGGAACTCTGCATTTGATATTTTAGAAAGTATTTTTATGTATGAAATTCAAAGATCCTTAAATTATCTCTGCTTTGAAATGCATGATAAAGCAGACGTTGTTGTTGGAAATGTGGTAAACAAGCCTACAGACATTCTGTTCACAAATGTGGCATTCATTTTCATTACTGCCCCACTGACAACATGAAAACACGGGCAAAAAGAAACTACCAATTAGCTTTATAGTAATTGCAGGATTATAACCACTTTTGTGATTGTAAACTCTAAGACATCTTCATAATCCAAATAACAATAGATTATCCTATGTATTGATCTGTCTTCCTTTCAAATTAAAAATAATTAAACTTCGTGTTTGCATGATGCAGAAAAATCATTGTTTTACTCCAAGAGACTTTCTGAAGATCAAAATCCTACCCCCTGACATCCCCCCTGGTTTAAATCACTAACCATTGGTGGATGCTACAGCAGTTCTAAAAACATAATATATGCTGGAAGTTGGGGAGCACATCAGGATTTGATGCTCTACTCCAGAGTTTATAGGCCTTTTGCTACTTTCTCCTGAGTACATTTACTCACATGCATGTTTTTCTGCCAGAAAGCTGGGATTTCTGTCTTCCTCCGGAGCAAACACCTGCTCTGTTACTTTGATTTTTCTCAAAAGAGAGGAAGAGTTGTAAGTATTCTTTCTGGCATCAGCAGAATCCAGGACTGGACATTTTTTCTCTCCATGAGTTGGCAATCAGTTTTGTTTCTGAGCCGAGTTGTCTTAGTTTTGCTGCTCAGGAATTCTCTTGACTGGCCTGTCATCAATTAGTAAACATTGGGGAGTTTATTTTTAGTTTGAAAGATAACCAAACAGGGATTTGATACAGACAGGCCCAAGAATGTAGCAACCCATGAAGAAACTAAGTAGCGATTATTTATGTATTTAGTAGCAATTTTTCCCAAACCAATATACTGTAAGGCTTTACAGGTCAGTCTGTAAACTGAGTAGATTTCATGCTTTTTAGCTTTGGAAATTATTTGATAAACAATGTCACCCAAATACTACAGAAAGTCATGTCATTAATATATTTGCTCAGAGGAATATTTTTTGCTGTTCAGTGCCTGATAAATTGTGCTGTGTGCTTATGTAGGTGGACAATAGGGATGGAGCAGAAGGTCTGTTTAGAGGAGTTAGCTGGTAATGACTTTGAAGACAGCATAGTGGCTGTCATCTCAGTTTGAACTGATAATTTTTAGATATGAAATTATATTTAGATAGGCTATCAGGTTGATTTGAGTGAAAATATATTTCTATTTAATTTTATCCTTTAGGGGCCAATTGTAGTTTTACATCAGTCGTGGCAAACCTGCCTGTGACTTAAGGCTGAACTGGTCCTCGGGGCATTACGTATGCATGCACCACTTGTAAGATTCATGTCCTGATAACATTGTCACGAGTTATGCAATTTGCAAGCATTTCATCAATTGAAGGAGAAAGGGGAAAAAAAAAAGTGCAAATGCTGTGTTTGCTAATAAATAAACTATTGTCTTTACACCTTTTAATCTACAGTTAAATACATGTTGCTGTTCATCATAGGAAACAAATATATCTAATTAATTTGTACAATAATGGGGGAGAAAATCTGCTGCATAAAATTCTTCTTCATGCTTATGTTGTTCTTTATATATACTCCAGCATGTAAAATTGGTAGTTTTCCAGTTTAGGTTTAATTTTACTTCCTAACACTTGATATGTCTGAAGCATAAAATGTTTATCTCTTTCTTCCATCTGGGTGAAGTATTGTACAATAGTTCAGACCAAAAATGGGTTCAGCTTGCTTACATTATCATGTTTGATAGATTGACATATGTACTGTTTCACACCATCTTACCACGCAAAGCTTTGCTGCCAGCTACCACCATCTTATTCATCAGCATTCAGTAATTCATCTTCAGGCCAAATGGGACTGTTTGGCTAAAAAATGTAGGTAGGAATTCACCTGTCAGTGCTTTCATGGAACTGGAGGGGAGAAAGGTATACGTGGTTCAGATGGCTCTCAGGGGATTCCAGTGAGCAAACATAAAAACTTTATGCTGCATAATCCTCACTTTGTCCTTAGGAAGGAGATGGGGAGAGTCCTGGGACAGTTTGTGCTGCCAGAAGGGTGGTTCATCAGAAGTTGGGTAGTATGTAGACCTCGGCATAGTGGTGAACTTCAGCTGGCACTGGGAACTTTAAATTTTACATGGTTTGGGGATAAGCCGTGTAGCAATAAACCCAGTGTTTCCTTTTTAAGCTCTGTAATATCCAGCTCTCAAATGTATGCAGCGTTATGAATGTATCAAAATGAAAGTGCTTATAGTATTCTAGGTTTGAATCAAGTTAAACAGATAATGACTGCTTATAATTGACTTATTCCAATGGAAATAGCTTAGCCTTAATTTGACAACAAGAGCTTTTACAAAGTCATTGTTTTATTATAAGTATGCCATAAGCTATTAACTACTACTTTGTGGTTCATCTTATTTCCCTGAGTCAGCTTTCTAACATCCTCAAAACATACAGATTCTAGCAGGAGCTATTTGTTACACAGTAATTAACTCGTTTATGATAAATGAATGGGAGAAATGTCACGGCATTTTGTTTTATGTATAAATGAAAAGCATCTGCATTCTAAAAATTTCATGTTAATTAGACTTAAAATAGTTTTCCCCAGTAGTGCCACAACTACCACATCTTACACATCACTACCAACACTGTAGCCTGATGATGGGGTATTAGCTGAGTTGAATTGTGGATCCAGTGCCTTCCTTAGAAATGCCCTCCTTGCATCCCTTAATAAAATTTCCTGGTGTGTAATCTCTCATAATTTTTGGTCTTTGTTTTTTTTTTTTTTTTTTTTTTTTAAGGATAATAAGCTTAATCTTGATCACTGGTGCATGGTAATGTTTAAAATAAGATTGTTAACTATTTTCTTCTTTAGCCAAAGGAACAATCTCAAAGCTTGCTGTATGGCAGAGGACAATTATGGCATGGGTATCTTTTTCTCTTTGTTTGTTATTAATGTTAACTTAAAATGGTGAGAACATTGGTCCTGAGGGGTGGGGAGCAATGACATACAGTACTGCACTGAAGACAGTTCAGGACTGACTCAGGGGATCTGATCCTGAGTGTTAACTCAGGTGTAAGGGACTGGTGATGACTGGTGGCCTCTTGGGGAAGGAGAGAAATAAGGAGTAGGATGCTGAAAGTGATATGCAATATGATCTAAGGGGGATGATACTCTTGATATTGGGTTTGTGCCCTTTTCCATTTTTGTAAGGCTTTTGAAGATTGTAATTAAAAAAAGATTTTTCAAAATTAGGAATTCAAGTTTTATTGGCATGCTGTGAGACTGTGGCAACTGGTAGTGGGTGGAGTGACATCACAGTGTTAAATACATTATTTTTCCAGTGTAGTACCATCGCAGTTATAGCAGGTCATCTCTCAAACACAGCTAAACAAAACAGCTCATGGCTTTCTCTACAATCAGGCGACAAAGTAAGCAGTGGAGATGTACGCCCTCTTTTTTGTTTTTCTGTGCATCTCTTCATCTGCAGTGATTCATGTTTCTGTTACTGATCCTAAATAGTGCCTATACTAATGTAGCAGGATAACTTCACTTGTGTAGGCAGTTACGTTTGGGTAGAAGTGTGTGGAAGCAGTTTATTTTCATACGGGAAGATGAATAAACTGTGCCAGCATGTTCTGCTTTAAGCAAGCGTATGAAACCAAAGCTTCATGAAAATGCATAAAAATGTAATTGCTTCCATACTAGGATTTTTACTAGTGTTATTTTTGGTTAGAAATGAGTAAAATACATAAAAACTTTACTGAAATACCTGTTTGGGGTTTTTTTTTTTTGTTTGTTTGTTTTTTTTTCAGAAGAATTCAGTATGGAGGCCATCTCTTATAAGTTTTTTTGGAGGCAGGATGTTCTTCATAGTCAAAGCTTTTTGTTTTCCCCACTGAAGTTTCAAAACCTCCATCCTCTTCAGCCCTCATCACCTCCAATAGTAAAACTTAGGAAGGCTGTGAATTCTGTTTAGAAAGTATAGAACAGATAGACCAAAATTCCCAACCCTCCAGATCTTCATGGATACTGTAGAACCAAACATTAAAATAAAAAGTGGGGCAGGGAAGGGAGAACATGAGCAAGCCTATGCAAGCTATGTTTGAGTCTGGTTACTAGTAATTCATGTAGTAGTAACTGTAGGGATATATACTGTACCTCCTTTTGGGGGTGAATGTACTGTATTCTCATTGTTAGTATAATAAAGGAAAATGAATGTGGAGTGTTAGTGAAAGGTACTAACAGCTCTTGAAAATAATCATACAGCCCCAAAATACTACTGGATACATGAAATTTGGCCCCTCTGAAAGCATGAGACAAATCTTTCAGGCGGAATACTGATCTCTGTGCTAAGTGCCCAGAGGGAGGGAGCACACCCCCGGGGTCACACACTTGGCAAGCGAGTGTGTATCTGCATCATTGTGTGGCCCCAATATGTGCCTTGGCTAATGAGGGCATTCTGCCTCTGTGTGTGTCTGGCTTCCCACTTTTGCTGGGTCTTGAGTCCAAAAAAAACCATAGGTACCCAGCTGCTGTTAATTTTGTCAGGAGTTTGCTTCCAAAAGGCTTCTGCTGGTCAAGGTCTGCCTTTAAAGTGTGCTCAGGAGGATGCTCTATCCCCAAGGCATCCCGCCT